ATTTTTACAGTCTTTATTTTACAGTTAAAATATATGTTTATCAAATAAAGTCTAATGAGCTTTTTAATCAAACTGTTAGAGCGCTCTCTATTATCAAACTGTACAGTTTACCATATCATCTTTATTTATAGAGCACTTCAAACACCCACAGGACCAAAGTACTGTACACATAATAAAACATGGATAAAATCAATAAAGTGAAAATAAAACATAAAAACAACACTASAAATTGTGTTCAACGGCCAGAGAAAAGATGAGTTTTAAGAAGAGATTTAAAAACAGACAGGGACGACGCCTGCCTGATGTCCAGAGGAAGTCGTTCCATAATTTAGGAGCTGCCACAGAAAAAACATGGTCACCTCTGAGCTTACGCTTAGTCTTAGGCACAGCCAGGAGCAGCTTTTTTATTTATTTATTTTTTTTTGAATACCAAGAACTGTCCAAACCTTGAAAACATTTGGTTAGAGAGGAAAAAAGAAGAAAAAAAATGAGGAAAAAAAAGGAAAAGAAAAAAAACATTTGGCTAAAATTCAAGCATCATCAAGGATTTCAAGCACCTGTACAAACCCTTAAAAAAGACTTCCGTAGGAGTTGAAGTTTGAACTCAAGCTTTATACTCAAGTAAAAGTACTGCTTTTAAATAAACTTAAAGTATACTTTAAATGTGACGAGTAGAAGTGAAAATGCATCTGACAAATAAATGCTCCAGTCCAGTGACATATCAACAGCCAAACTTACTACTTTTTTACTTGACACCTCTGCAGACCACCCAGCTAACAAAGCCCACCAAAAACTCAAGCCAAATGCATTCCTTCAATAAACGCCAGACCTGTAGTTGGTTTTAATCAGATATTTTAATTTTACAGGTGAAACGATTCTTCTTAGTGTTTAGATCAATGATTCCCACACTTTTTCAGCCTCCGACTGTTTTTGGCTGAWAAACATTGATATCAGGTCAACTAAACAAAGACATATTAACAATATTCATTAAGCTAATTTCATCCATGYGATGGACTTGTGACCTGTCCAGGGTGTACCCCGTCCCTCGCACAGTGACTGCTGGATATGGCCWCCAGTGAACCTCACAATCCGGACAGGGCAAAGCAGGTTAGAGATAACAGATTGATAAYTTCATCCATTTTTAAAGCACACCAACCTCTGTCTCTAACAATTAGTATAAAAACTAGTATTATTAGTAGTCCCATTTAAATGTAATTAATTCTGAAAACCCTTTCAGGACCCCGCCCCGACCTACTTGAGAAACATACAGGTGGAACATTCTGTTCAGCAAGTTCCTCATTTGAATACATTTTCATGCAGAAACAACAAACAGCAACTCTGAAGACTTAAAGGGGCAGTAACATTTTAAATGTTAAAGGGATCCATGATTAGTTGTAGCATTAGACTTTATTTGATAAACATATATTTTAACTGTAAAATAAAGACTGTAAAAATAATGTAGGCTGTTTAGTTTTGTAAATTTAAAAATATATATTTTAACATGGACGGGGCCATTTTATTTACACACAAAGCATTCTGGGTAAATGACGACGTGGATAGGTCCTCGATGTGAGCGAGCTATATCCACCCTGAAGGTTAATCTTGGACAATATCTGATGATCGACTCTTTTAAATGAAACCAGAGAGCGTTGACAGAGAGGAGAAGGTAGAAATGACTCAGCCTGGAACTGAAAATATGGATGGAGGACAACAGAGCTGCTTCATGGAAGAAGAACCTCAGCTCAGACTGTTAGCCTTTGTCCTAGCGCCGATGCTATATTGCCTTATATGTATTAGATTGACGCTAGCGCAACAAACAAGCTAAACTGAGGTCCTCCATCCATATTTTCAGTTGCAGACTGAGTCATTTTTGCGTTCCCCTCTTTGTCATGTGGATGGAGGACCTCAGTGACGAGAGGAGAATGTGTAGCACTGAGCTAATATGGTGTTAGCGTCAGGGCTAATGCTAAAGCTAACAGGCTAAGCTGAGGTTCTTCTTCCATGAAGCAGCTCTGTTGTCCTCCATCTATATTTTCAGTTACAGGCTGAGTCATTTCTACCTTCTCCTCTCTGTCAACGCTCTCTGGTTTCATTTAAAAGAGTCGATCATCAGATATTGTCCAAGATTAACCTTCAGGGTGGATATAGCTCGCTAGCAGCCTCGCACCGAGGACCTATCCAAGTCATCATTTACCCAGAATGCTTTGCGTGTAAATAAAACGACCACGTCCGTGTAATATATTTTTAAACTTTTAGTTTAAAACTGATAAAACTGAACATCCTACAGTATTTTTACAGTCTTTATTTTACAGTTAAAATATATGTTTATTAAATAAAGTCTAATGTTACAACTAATCCTGGATCCCTCTAAGAGTAACATTAATGTTTCTATCTACTACCTGAACAAACAAGAAGTTTTTAAATGTGAATAACCTGCAGCTCGTTCTCTGCTGGTATTAAACATGTGATGATCACAGTTAAAAGTGATGATTCTTGGTGAWGTGTTCATCAACACAAACAGCCTGAGCCACAGCTGCACTCACCTCTCCTGCTCTATCAGCTCCTCTGCAGAGTCCAGCTGCTTGCTGAGCTTCTTCACCTGCTTGTAGTGGCTGAAACAGTCCTTGTCGTCCTGGTCCAGCTTCAAACACTCCCTGATGTGACTGAGCAGAGACAAAGAAGGATAGTAAGACGTGAAGCCCTGGCGAGGGAGAAGTCTCTGCTGTCGGGGGTGGGGAACTCTCACGTCAGCGACTCTCTGTGCTCCCCCAGGCTGTACTGCAGCAGGCTGAGCTTCAGGAAGGCCGCGCGGTTGTCGCTGCGCAGCCTCGCCGCCGGCGCCAGGTCCAGGATGGCCTTCTGCGGATCGCCCATTCGGATGAAGCACTCTGCGCGCAGCTCGCGTGTCTCCGGATCCCACGGAGATATCTGAGACAAAAATAAATTAAGAAGACGCGTCTGATACAAGCCGACGGCGTGAATAAAAATTCTCGTTGAGCGCTCGTTACAGAARATCACGCCTACTTCTATAACCCGCTCCAGCACAGTGACAGTGGTGCTGTAGTCCCCCTGGTGGTACGCAGCGTGCGCCTCCTCCTGCAGCTCCTCCAGCTCGTTCGACTTCACCAGCTGCTCTTCGGCTTCTTTGTGGTCCGATGAGCGCTGCAGCTAAAAAAGGGTTCTGCATTAATGGCACGTATTTGTCTTATAATAGAGTTTTTACGCCTCTCTCAGCAGATGTTTAAACATTCAATTAAATTTTGTTTAAAGAGAGAATTAAAGGGGACAGAGATGTTAAAGTGCCTGTGACATCAATGTTTTGTAATAAACACGAATGTATTTTTGGAAAGATAACATTGATAACATATTGTAAAAACTGTTTCACACCGCTGAGATGAACAGTTGTTGAGATATTTGCATGTGGAGTAAGAGGAAGTGAGGTCAAAGGGGAATGTCTGAATATAAACAGTGTTGCTAAAATAGCTAACAACCCAGCCTGTAGAGATGATGTTTCTTTAGATTATTTTAATCACTATCAGAGAGATGAAGAGTCAGAGTTCAAATAATATTATTTCAATAAACAAAAACCAGAGTTCCCCTTTGATGTCACTTCCTGTTTCACTTCAGCTGAGCCAAATTCAAAAGAAAATATGCCAATCATGCGATATAATGGATAAAATCACATGTATTATGCCAAGTTTCTTCAATATAAATACATTTTGACTTTTTGTATTTCATGGCTATGCATGTCACAGACACTTCAAACTCTTAAACTGAAACAAGAGTCTCAGAGAAGACGTAACTTTCCAGTTAGAGGGATTTAAATGGGCTGTGTGATGCGCAGAAAGACGTTATCAGTTAATCGATTGGAATGGATTTTAATCTAATAAACAATTATTCGACAATTAATCGTAAGTCCATTCATTGTTTGCATCCCTACAATAGATTGGCTTTTATTTAAGCTGTGAAACAGAAAACTCTCACAGCTTAAATAAAAGCCAATCTATTATGTATGAATCTATAATGTGTGAAAAGACTGCTCCCCGACACTGGCAGGTAAAACTCTAAATCAGGGATAATCGATTCTGGTCCTCGAGCTCCGCAGCCCTGCATGTTTTACTTGTTTCTCTGCTCCAACACACCTGATTTGAATGAATAGATGATTATCAGGCTTCTGCAGAACTTGGAAGAGGTAATTCACTGACTGAATCAGGCGTGTTGAAGCAGGAAAAAAAAGTACAACATGCAGGGCTGCGGACCTCGAGGACCAGAATTGATGACCCCTGCTCTAAATGCAAGGTTTGGATGTGTTTGACTCAAACGTTACATTTAGAATCATGGAGAGTTTATATAAAGACCAATAGAAGAGAAATTTGAAAACACAGAAGGTTTTCTTGTACAAATAAGAAAAGTCCTGTGTATAAACCCTAAATAAAGCCACAGTATCAAACCTACCACTGTTTCRAAGTCCTCTCTGGCTTCCTGTGCGTTTCCCTGCTTCAGCAGGATGTTTCCTCTCTGCAGCCGGGCCTGAGAATACAAAACAAGATGTGATGATGTGCAACAGAAGTGAAGAAAAACACTTAGCCGGGGTCCAATCCCGGTTCTGAATCTGAATGTGTGAAAACAGGCTCCTGCTGAACTTTAAGAGGTAATTCAGTCACTGAGTCAGGTGTGTTGGAGCAGGAAAAACCAGGATTGGACCTTTCAGTAGACGTCTTACAGGCAGGAAGTCTGGCTTCAGCTGGATGGCTTGAGTCAGGTCAGGCAGGGCAGATCTGGCTTTTCCCATCGCCAAGAACACTGCAGCTCGTTTGTAGTAGGTCAGGTAATTCTTAGAGTCTCCCTCTGGAAAATGTCAGAGACACGAAATCTTTATCTTCACAGACGTCAAAAAAAAGGGGGGGATTATCAAAACAGAGGTAWAAATGTGTTTGCTGTCTGTGTCACCTTACCCACAGCTGAGTGGTAGTGGGACAAGGCTTCAGCCAGCTGACCGGCTGCCAAAAGCTTGCGGCCCATCTCCAAGTGCTGCTCGATCTCGGCTTGAGTCGCCCCGAGGACCCCTGCAGCACAAAACTGAGCCTGAGACTCGAGGGAAATACCAGYGGAGAAACAACGGCACAACAAGTCTTTTCATTTCCTCTTGCTTGATTTTAAAGTCTAATTAACAAAAGTCATGTTTCAGAAGTTAATGTAACTTCACGTTATTAGGGAATATTACAAATAAATTGTGATGAATCTGCTTTCCTCTCTTCCTGTTCACTGACGACAAATACTTTTTTGACTTTTAACAGATTTGTGTTCAGGATCGACCTGAAGGTTCTCTTTTTTTAATACTTTAAACAATTATTAATAAACAATGTAAAAGTGCACACATTAAATGTGGAAAGTACCCATATTAAATAAAACCATGGTATTMTTACACCTAAAACAAATTTCTGCATCTTAATAAATCTAAAGGGTTAGGGTTATCTAAATTTGTGTTTTCTTGCTCTCAATTGCGCCCTTCGATGCGAACTTATGCTAATATTTACGTGATTTTAGCTTGTTAAAATAGTTATGATGGCACAAATGTAGGAAATCAATGAGGCGT